CACACTATCAGGAACCTCTGTTACCTTTTTGCACCAATCGAATGGCAGACTGTAGTAGTTATTAATGTGTGATTCCGTATTAGTTTTAGCCCTGTTGAATATCATAATTTTGCTTTTTACGTTCTCACTCTCATCGAGTACTTCAAATGACATCCTAGTCACACTCTTTTCCTTGACAAATAACAATGATGGAAATACGAGTACATCACTACCGTATCTTAGCATTTCCAGTTCGAGAGGGTCGCCTTCTGGTTTTCCATGTGCTGGTTTTAGCGATTCACCAGATGCATGTGCTGGTTTTAGCGATTCACCAGATGCATGTGCTGGTTTTAGCGATTCACCAGATGCATGTGCTGGTTCAGATTTTTCTTCTTCTTCTTCTTCTGTTAATTCTGATGCTTGCGGTGTTGATACCTTTTCTGTTGATTCTGATGACTTGGATTTCTCTACTTCTTCAGATAATGAGGTATATGCTTTCAGATCTGACACTTTCGCTGGTTTTGGTGACCTTCTTTTTCTGATGCTTCTTCTTGGTGTAGCAGGTGCACCTTCTTCTTTGTCTGAATCTTTTTTTGGCTTATATCCCGTTTTCTTTGATTTCTTTTTTCCACCCCTACCTTTTTTAATACTAACTGGCGATGAATGAGCTTCACCATCTTCATGTACTTCTTCAACTTGTAGCACCAATCTCCTTTTTCCTTTTGTCTTCCCAGTCATTAATGGTGTACTGGCAGCTAGAGGTGATAGTGACAAATCTTCTTCATCATCTTCATCCTCTGCAACCACCGCTTTCTTTATTCCTCCTGTCTGCTTAACAACATCTTCACCATCTTCATCTTCATCCTGACTTTGTTCGGCTGCATCAGGTGATGCAGATTTAGCAATAGGAGAATATCTACCTGATCCAGGTTCAACTCCACTCAAATCTACTAATTCAGATGCTTGAAGCTGATCTCCTGTTTCATCTGATCCCAACAATCCTTCATCTTCCTCTTCCTCTTCATCTTTTTTTACTGCTCCTTCTTCTGTTTCTTCAAGTGATTTTCTT